CCCCCCGCACCCCCCCACCCACACCCCGAGTATACTCCACTCTGCAACCTTCATTCTGGACTCATGATAATCATAATACCCTATAATATATTGCTTTTAAACTGTTTTCTCCCTCATCCATTTCAATGCAGTATACATAATTCATCCAGTTTCAGAATGATTTATACAAAGTTACGCCATTGAAGTTCCATTTACAGCAGGATGATGAAGAGAAGGGGATGTCCAGATATTTCGTTTTCTGGTTTTTTAGATAAGAGACTTTTTGATATGAATGGCAGTCACATAACACAGAGAGGGAGCATGCCCAATAGGTGTTACAAAAGGAGACAGGGAATCAGAAGAAGCCATCTAGTCCAGGGTGATAGGGCATGAAGTATAAAGGAAGCAGACCAAACTTTGTTTTTAGGAGGCCAATTTTTTTTTGTCAAACAATTTTACTAAGTGGTATAGCACTGGTCTGTGCATTACTGTATAGTGGTAATTCATGGTTGCTGTGAAGCTAAACACTGTGACAAAGATGCATCAAATGTGACAACAGTTACCCATGGTGAACAGTGTTTGGTGGAGTTCCCCGATTAAAACAAGCTTAGAAGCAGGAGTGGCATCCACTTCTGAAATGGCTTGCCTCCAGAAACTCTACGAACAGTGCTCGGGTCTGTCTTTCGTTCATAGGGTTGTTATGAGTTGTCTATGACTCAACAGCACTTAATAACAACAACTTTGCTTTTAAGGTGTTACTATTTTATGTTCATAATAAAGGAACTTCTCTAGCAGGTGAGTTAAACTCAAGTATTGACAGTCTAGAGGTTCTCTTAAATTGGCCACTGGCCTTAGGATTTCACAATCACTTCAGTATTCCACAGCTATTGCTGCCAGGCAGCACGCATGATTGTTTTACACTAAAACAGTGCTAAAGAGCAGCAGTGCCAAGGTAAAGACTATGGCATGCCTGGCCCAGGCTATTATCTTATCAATTGCTTCCTGTGCATTTGAATTTGGGCCGTGAATAAGGATAACAGAAGAAATGATGGCTTTGAATTGTGGTGTTGGAGAAGGGTACTGGATATCCTGTGGGATGCCCAAAACATAGTCAAGTCTGTCTTGGGAGAGGAAATGAATGCAACCAGAGTGCTCCTTAGAAGCAAGGCTAGCACAACTTCATTTCATATATTTTGAGTATGTTGTCAGGAAGGACTGTTCTTGTTGTTATGTGTCGTCAAGTCGCTTGAGACTCATAAAAGGAGCATTGATGCCTTTGAACTGTGGTGCTGGAGAAGAGTATTGAATGTACCATGGACTGCTGGGAAAACAGATTCATCCTGGAAAAGGTTAAACTGGGAGGTTTCTTGGAGGCAAGGATTCTGAGGCTCTGTCTAACATTCTTTGCACATGTTGTAAGGAGGGACTGGTCCTTGGAGAGGGACATCATGCTTGGTTGGGTGGAGGGACAGTGCAGGAGGGGAAGGTGGACTGATTCAGTGACTGGGGTAATCGGGGTGGGAGTGTCAGAGACAGTGCGGTTGGCACAGGACAGAGCAGAGTTTAGGGCTGTTGTACATAGGGTCACTATGAGTCGCAAGCGACTCGATGGCACATAACAACAACAATAACAACAACATAATATCCCTGCTACCACAGCCACTTCTAAACCCAGTCTGCAGTTCTAGCAGTTCTCTGTTGATGTGCTATTCCAGTTGTTTTTGGATAATTTTGCTCACAGTGTGTGGTGAGGATCCCTTGAAATAAGAAAATGCTCTTTATATCTGGGAGATAGAGACTTGGATATCTGTGGCTTCTTTCATGTTGGACTTGAGAGTATTGGGAGAGAGAGAGGGCAGAGCTGAAGGAAGATTCAGTGTAGCAAAGAAGACTTTTGTGATATAAACCATTAACAAACCTTCACTTTATTAGTAAATCATTAGTAATGCACCTGGTAGCTGCTTCTTGATCTCTCTAAGTGTTTACAAATACTTTCCTCTGGAATGGTTAAAAATTCACTTTTAGCCATAGTTATAAGACTGCAATCTTAAATAGAAGAATATAATCCTTGGAGGCAAGGATTCTGAAGCTCTATCTCATATAATTTGGGCACGTGGCCAGGAGGGACTAGTCTTTGGAGAAGGACATCATGCTTGGAAGGGTGGAGGGATGGCACAGGATAAGACCCTGGATGACAGGGATTGACAGAGTAACTGCTGTGTCGGAGTCAGTGAGAATGGCTCAGGATATGGCGGGGTTCAGAGCTCTTGTTCATATGGTTGCTATGAGTTACAGGAAACTCAACACTACATAGTAACATCAATAATGCTTAAATGATTCTTTTCAATAAACTCCTATCACCTTGTCCCCAGGATTTGACTTTCAGAGGGCTAGTTTGCTGAATTTTATGTGCTGTTTAGTAGCAGAAATATAATGTCCATGATTTAAGGAACATCATTCTCTATTAATACAATGAACATCATGCATGATTTATTGGTGTCTGTGTATCATAAAAGGTCCCCAGGTCCCAGTCAGTCACTCTCAACTACTAGGCTAAATGTTGTTGATTCAAACACACCCAGGGATTCCACGAAAGAAAGATCTAGTGATCGAGCATTCCCAAAAATATCACAGCCAGGAAAGCCCTTGGAAGCTGTAAGCTTGGTTGCTGTATTTAAATACCATATACGTAAATGAGTGGCCCTTCTCCAGTGGCTCAAATCCACCAGCAGCTCTGTGGGAGAAGGATTGGCAGTTTCCTCCAGTGCAATTTACAGCCTCAGAAATCAAGGAGAAGGTTGGCTAAGGGTCAGAATGGACTCAGCTGTAATGCATTTGAGTTTTTTAAATGGGCAGATCTCTCTGGGAACAAAGGAGCAGATGAACTAACTTACCTGCCTTCTCAGTCACTGCACTGCTGACTAGATCCATTGCTCCTGATTGCTGTCCTTCATTTGGCAGTTGGTGTGTTGTTATTTGGTCTCCAACAAAGTGTGTTGGTTTCTCCAGGATGAGCCCAAGAGGACCAAGGATGCGACATTGTCAGCCGAGCTTCAGCAGGCCTTGGCCATGATGGAGGATTTAATCAAGTCTTGTGAGTTGGCTGTGGACCTGGCTGCTGTCACAGGCTGTCCGGTATGTTCCTCAGTGTGTGTCGGGACACTGCACACAAACCTCTGGACACCTTTACAAAGTTGAGAATGCTCTGGTACAGTAGGACACGTAATCCATGGTAAAGGAAAGTAGCCTCAATTAGTCAGTAAAGCCAGGCTACGAGGCTGCCACCCGCCGCTGCAGCATTTGGAGGAGTCCTGACTTGTAGCCCACACGGCCTGCATGTGAACACTCTGTACAAAGCAGACCCAGGTATTGTTGTTGTTGTCAGATACCATGGTGCCAGCCCTGACTCATAGCAACCCTGTGAACAATAGAACAAAACACAGCTGGACTCTGCCTCCTCCTCACAACCTCAGCATGGAAATGGGGGCTGCCCCAGAGATCGTGAGAAACAGATATGGACAGGGGGAAATATGAACAGGGAGCTATGAAAGGGGGTGGGACAATTCTTTTCCCAACTATTTCTATTATTAAAATAGGAAAAGATTTCTCTGCTTGACTCAGTATTTTTAAATGAATGCAAAGTGTACCAAGGGAGCTCTGGTGGCCTAATGGTAAGAAACTGCACTACAATCCCAAAGGTGTGTGGTTCAAATCCACTAGCTGCTCCGTGGGAGGATGGACAGGCTCCTCCCGTCTTTTAACAGCTTCTGAAAACCCATCCGAGGGTCAGCTATGGGTTGTTTCTGACTCAATGGTAAACAACAACAAAGTGTACTATTATTTTTCATCACAAATCTCCAGAGAGGCCCTTCAAGTGTATATTTTACATCCCTTAATCTGAGTGGTGAAGGGGGCAAAAGGGAGCTGGAAGGGCGTCTGGAGGCCAGGGCTGGGCTTGCTTGGAGCAGGGCGGGCTGGGCTTGGAGCTTTGCGTGCCTCCCCAGCATCAGCCTTGCCCCCGCAGGCTTTCAATCATTCCAGGCAAACCACGCTCAGTCTCCACATGGTCTCTCTGCTGGGGCATAACTGATGTGCAGTGAACCGTAATGACCTAGACTGTAGGGAGTTGCACTGTGAACACAAAGCCTGTCCCGTTTGGCGGTTTGAATCAACTAGCTACCCTTCAAGAGGCAAAAGAAAACTCAAACTCTTTGCCATTGAGCTGGAGAGGCCTCATGGCCGACACTGCACATCTCCTCCCGTGTGATTTACAGTCTCAGAAACCCAATGGCGGGTCAGTTCAAGAAGTTTCCAGCTTGAAGGTGATAAGAGAGGAAATGAACATCCCATTGTTTTCCTCTGGGGAGTGCTCTAGATTTTGGCTCCAGTCTACTCCTTTTTAATCCCAGCCACAGTAATTTACCTCGGACTTGGTAGTTTAAAACCAGCATTTCAAACCAGTTCATTCCAGTTCAACCCCTCTTGAGAATCTAACTTTAACCGTGGGGATCCCCTTAAAATGTAGATCCTGATTCGCTATTATCTAGAGACCTCAGACAATTCAAGTTGAATGAACTGACAGCTGACCCTCTGCTGGGTTTTCTGAGCCTTTAAATCCCGGAGGACACTTAGCTCTCTCAGAAATGCTGACCGATACAAACCTCCAGAAAGGAGTGTTGGTTGGGCTAGCAGTGTAATTCCTTACAGACTAACGCTCCATATGCATGAGCTTTGTCTCACATTCTTCAGACACATTGTCAGGAAGGCCCAGTCCTCAGAAAAGATACCATGATGGGAAATATGGAGAGTCCGGGAAGGAGGGAAGATCCCCACCAAGATGAATTGTGTCTATCAGGGATCTTGAGGATGGCATAGGATAGGGCGAAATTCAGATCTGTTCTTCACAGGGTCACTGTGAGTTGCCGTTGACATGACAGTACTGAACAATGGCAACCACAATGGAGCAGAAACGTAAATTCGCAGCAGAGGCTTGAACTATTGAAGTCCTACCTAAAACAACATGCAATCATTGTTTTAGAGTTTCATAAAACTAAGGTACCCAATATGTTTCCAAAACTAAAAACAAGTCTGCTTTGCTTGAGTCACATTTTTGGCAGCTCACTGAAGATTTGGTGGTTCAAAGGCACCACCTGATCCACAGAGTGATGGTAGAGAGTTGCCTTCTGTAAAAATTTATAGCCTCAGGCACTTGAAAGAGGGTCAGTATGAATTGAAATAATTTCTTCGGCACTGAGTTAGGAGAGAAGAGAATTTCCTACCTTTTCTTATTCAGAGGAGATGCCAACTTTTTGGTTCTTGGTTCCCTTTCTCCATCTTCAAAGTCAACCCTGTAGGGCTGAATTCTCGTATCACAGCTTTCCTCATCCCTTCTGCCGCTCTTCCACTTTTTTGAAAAAAAATTTATTTTATTAATTTTAAGGAACATTTACAGAGATTTTGGATTTCCATTCATTCATTGTTGTACTTTTCTCCCTGCCCACACTTCCCCCCACGTTTGCTCCTCTCTCTGAAAAGTAAAATTCCTTCATTGGTATACAGTGCCCCCCGCCCCCCTGCCCCGAGTGCACTCCACTATGCAACCTTTATTCTGGACTCTAGTCATGGCAGTTATGGTCTCTTTAGGGTATATTCCCAGTAGTGGAATTGCTGGGTCAAATACCTCTTCCACTTTTTAAGGACCCTTGTGAGGTCATTGAGCCCCCTTGAATATTTCAGGATCCTCTGTCTAGTTTAAAGTCAGACCAATTAAAGGTGTAAAACGAACCCCAAGGCCCTCAAGTTGGTTCTGACACTCAGCAAGCCTAGAGGATTTCCAAGGCTATAAATCTTTAGACGGAATAACAGTTGATGTCTTTGAACTGTGGTGTTATCAAAGAGCATTGATCTACCATAGACTGCCAAGAGAACAAAGAGATTCGTCTTGGAAAAAAGTTCAACCAGGGTTCTCCTTAGAAGAAAGGATGGTGAACCTTTGTCTTACATACTTTGGGCATTTTGTGAGGCCACAGTCCTTAGAAAACGACATCATGCTGGGGAATCAATCATTGAAAGAGAAGACCTTCAGTGAGATGGATTGACAGAATGACTATAACTATGAGTTTAGCATGGCACAGACTGTGAGGGTGGTGGAGAAGGCAAGGCCCCGCTGCTGTTCACGAGATTGTTACGAGTTGTAATGCATGCAATCTAACAACAGATCTGTGCAGAAGCAGATACTCCCCACATCTCTCCTGGGCATTGGTTGGTGGATCCACTAATCTTTTAGATAGCAGCTGAATATTTATTTAACCCCTGTGCCACTCTTCTTTTTCCTTTTTTTAAAAATTTTTATTAAATTTTATTAATTTTAATGAACATTTACAGAGATTTTGGATTTCCATTCATTCACTGTTGCACTATTTTCTCTACCCCCACCTCCGCCAGTTCGCTCCTCTCTTTTTTTTCCCCTTGAAAGTCTGTTTTAATTCTCCCATTGCCACAGTGCTTGTCAAAGCCAGTTCTGATTAATCTCCTTTGTCAATGTGTCCTTTACCATTCCCTATCACTCCTCTCTAAGAGAGACTTCACCCTAACTCATAAGGAAAAGGGGATGGCGTATTCTCTTAGCTACTTCCTGCTGAAAAGGGATGCTGTGGGTTTCAGGGTGAATGTCTTCTCTCACTACTCTAAAGGGCCCCTTTGGCAATAGGAAACACGTAGACTATTGTAGAGATTGATTTTGGAACTTAGATGCACTGTTATCAATTGTGCTTAGTCGTACATGTTCATATCCTTGAAGATGTATCATGGAATGTTGCAGCCTAGAAGACACAAATTTAACTAACAAGTTAAAAGTACATGAGTCAAAAATTAAAAGCAATAATATTCTAGTAGAGGTTCTAACAGTGGCAAAAATCAAGTTACAGAGGGAAGGTAGTTCTTACAATAAAAGGCCTATAGACTAGCACTTTGTCTATTATAGTATAAAGGTTAGGAACCACACGATGTAGAGGCTCAACTATGTCATTTATTGTTGTTAAGTCCTAGACCAAATTCCATCTACCACTGGGTTGTTTTACAGCTCAGAAGTCCACATGCAAGGCAGAGGTGAAGTAAGGAACTGCTTATGAGGTTTTCTGTCAATTCCAACAACTAAGAAATAGTGAGAAGAGTTGGGACCTCAGAAGGCTTTTAGAACCAAACAGTAGGCTTTTGTGTCCAGGAGAAAATGAATATACTTACCAGTAATGTCAATGCTCACCCACAGCTCTTCTGGGACGATCTAAATTGTTGAAGCGTCCTCCTTTGTTTCCAGCTGGGAGCTGGGGCCTGTCAGTCCTGTCAGCCATGACAACCTGATGTGGGCTGCCCCTGGCCATGTGTCCTTCAAATCCACACTTAAAGCAAGTGAGTGGGAGCTTTCTCTCTGCTCCCTTGCCTATCTGTGGCTCTCGTCTGTGACACTGTCTACTGAAGTGGCCCAGCTTTCCACAGTGGAAGCAATTCTGACCTCTTTTATTACCTTTGGGTGACACTGTTTATGAGTAAGACTTCCTTTTCCTGATACAGGCCCTAAACTGGCAGCAATAGCTGCCCCAATAGTTTTGGCCGTTCTCTGGTCTTTTCTCTTCCCTCTAGATCTGTGCCACTCTTCTTGTTGTTGTTAAGTGCCATCAAGTCATAGGTGACTCATAGCGAACCTATGAATGAAAGACCCGAACACGTGTATAACTTTCGTCGTTTCTCCAGGTTCATAAGGTTTCTGGAGGCAAGCTATTTTGCAAGTGGATGCCACTCCTGCTTCCAAGCTTCTTTTAATCCGAGAGCTCCACCAAACACTGTCCACGAGGGGTAACCATTATCACATTTGATGCATCAGTGTCACAGTGACCATGAGTTACCTCTGTACAGTAGGTGGACAGACCAGGGCTATGCAACCTAGAAGAATGTTTGACCAAAAACAATTAATACCAGGCTTGAGGGCCGTGGATTAAAGTCACCACCCTTTGGCTTGGGAGCATCACTTTCTGTCCACAAGAAAGAGTATTTCAGGGGTTTTCTTTAAATATAGGAAAGAGAGAAACAATTATTTATCTCCATTTTTAACAGTGAACTGGTTTTCTGTATTAACTCTT